ATTCCGGCGCGCTACTCCCACTACCGCTCGAGTGACCGAGTGACTCGGTGACCGAGCCGCCGGGCGCTCACGTAATGCCCTGGCTCAGGAGCATTTCTGTAGCTTAAACGTGCAGAAGTATCTTACGTTATTAAAGAATATTTTTCTTGCAAAATAATTTTTATTTCCTTAAAAAAATCAAATTTTCTAAAACATTTTGTCATAATAATTTTTGCCTACCGGCAAACAGAACTATTCAATAATTGTTATAAATTTACATCGAGAAGTTTCTAAAATAACTAATACATTTTGTCATAATAATTCTTGCTTACCAGAAACCATTCAATAATTCTGGAATCTGGAATCTGGAAATTCTGTGTTTTCTATACGAAGTCTTACAAAGCGATATAGAATCTTTGTTACTTAATGAGACTTTGTAAGACTTCGTATGGAAAACGGAATTTCCAGGTATTTTCTGACTTCAATCTTCGCAAGTCTGTTATAGAAACTTCTCGATGTAAATTTATAACAATTATTGAATAGTTTCTGATAGGCAAGAATTATTATGAAAATGTGTTAATTATTCTAGAAATTTCTCGACATAAATTTATAACAATTATTGAATAGTTTCTGGTAGGCAAGAATTATTACGAAATATTTTAGAAAATTTAGTACTTGATTTTTTTAAGAACATAAAAATTATTTTGCAAGAAAAATATTCTTTAATAACATAATCTTCGTACGTTTAAACTACAAAGACGCTCCTGAGCCAGAGCGTCACGTGGACGCCCGGCGGTTCGGCCCGAAATGTGCAAACCTTTGCGAACATAATAGTAATATATACACATGTATAGATACATACATATATCAATGTAAAATATTACAATACGTCAAAGACGTTTATTTTTCTTTTTTTCATCGGTGAAAGAATCCCATAAACATTAGCAAGTACTGGTACAACAGTACGATGTCAACGTAAATCTGTGTAGTTGCGAAGATCACTTCGTCGGGAGTCAATTCTATTCTGCGTCCACCCATAATTGTCTGTACGTCGAAGTACAAATACTGAAAATACATAAAATGATTTTATCATCGAATTTTGTTTATTTAATTTATTTTAATTTATTACAGGAAATTAATTATTAACGACCTTCCCGATTAATTAATTAATTTTATAAATTAATTTAATTTTCGCAATGAATATACAGAAAATGCAGAAATACAATTCAAGAAATATAATTCTTCTTAGTATACCTATTTATTTTTATTTTTTTTATTTTAAATTATTTAATTATATATCTCTTAATAATTGCTGTATAAATTGCAAAAAATAGCATTACATTAATATAAAAAATTGAAAGAATTAAAATAGATAAAAATTTCCAGCTGAATTAAAATTAACTCCTAGATATTCGAGCTTTAAAGTCCAAAAAACTAAAATATTACTAAAATGGATGTTGGTGAATAGATTTTTTTCATGAGAATATAATATTTCCAAAATATACTGACCATGCAGAGCAGGAGCGTTCCAATGATAGCTATTACCAGGCGTAGAACTATTATATGAGTGAACAATAGGATTATTAACACCGTAAAAATAGATACGATCGCAACCAGCCCAACTATCATCAGTAAGCCTGGTCTCATTGTCAAATCAAACTGCAATTTCATCATAAAACGATTGTTCATTTATACATTCTTTGTTTCTTTTCTAATTTAATATAAATGCAAATAAATTAAAGAAAAAAAATAATAAAATTGCATATTTACAATAGAAATTAAGTTTCTGAGAAATATTAAAAGACAAATTAATTAATGTAACTTTAACAATACAGATTGAATCAGAAATAAAAGAATTAAAAAATATAATTAAAAGATAAAGATATTTATAAGACATAATATGGGTAGTAAATAAAAAATAAAAAAATTAAGAGAAAACTAGTTAATACAAGTTTCAATGTAAGGCATACTAAGTTAAAAAAACGTGACATAAAATTGCAAAGGGAATATAGAATAAAAGCATGGGACTACCGTGGAGAATGTTGCTACAAGAGCTATGATCATTGTAACGACGGCAGTCATGCCCAAAACGATGAGAATCACCTCGATGGTATAAAACACAGAGACGAAGGCGGCTATGTATGACATTGCCATTGTCTGTGATTCATGAGAAATTTAACTGAATTAATTTTAATTTACAGGGGATCATTCCATTGTGTAAAAAGAAAAAGTAAACATGAAGATATCATACCAATAGGATCAGGCAGATGTAATTGAATGGAGGCGTTCGTCTGGCGTACACCGAGCAGGATACAGTACAGTATGAGATGATGAAGACCGCACTAAAATGCAAATTAATGTTTTAATTAGATTAAAATTTATAAAAATAGAAAGTACGGATCAATTAATAAATACATTTGGTTTTTTAAAGCTTAGAGTTATTTTTAATAAAAAGAAATAAACTGATATTATTATATTTATATTAAT